TAAAACATTGACTACAATTTAATTTCCCTCACCCTACCATCATCTTGGGTTCTGATTCAAGCAAGTAAATCAGAAATGTTAAAATTTCCTTTTTGCCCCCGTTTGTTGGAATTGTGACCAGGTGCTCTTGATGGTCTCTTTTCATATTTATAATGAAAGTACTGTTGGGTGAATTTAGATATGTGCGTTTCAAATATTTTATTGTCCAAGAGTTAGAATGTAAGCATACAAATTGCATTCATTGTAAGAGTTACCTCATAAGGTTAACATGAAAATTAAGGGAAAGAAAAATGTGCCAGCATTGAAACAGTTATTCAAAAGTTTAGTATTACTTAGTGAGCCTGGTTTTGTTTTTGTGAACTAACCTGTTATAAAAACTAGCCTGTTGCATGCAAGTTGCATTATAGTTTCTGCTTTTAAAGATTTCATAATTTTTCAGGATCAAGCTAACAGATGCATACATAGTTGCAAATCAAGGTTGCTTGCATTATAGGGCTGGTGCAATCTACTTTCAGTAGTAGGATAAAAAAGAACTGAAATGATTGAATAAGGCTTTTGTTGAGGGGGTGGTATTTTACTTCGGTCTAAACTGTTGGGCAGACCGGTACATTATACCACAGCAGAGGTAGGAAGTGTTTGTACTTTTTCAGGGAACAGAGTGACCACTCCAAGTTGGTTGAAACAAATGCTTATCAGGAGGCTCGGGAGGTGAGGCTTGGAGTTTGAAAGCAAGGCAAAATGTGCAGGCCAGTCTCTACAATTCTTTTGAAGTTGATTGGTAGGTTTCTCTCATTCTTGGTCAGTTTGTTTTTTTCTCTTTGCAATTTAACCTATTAAAACTATGATTCATACGTTATCAAACTGAAAAAAACATGCATCCATGTTTCTAAATGTAAGCATATTTTTATTTCTTGATCCATACCACTCATTCCAAGAGGAAGCCTGGTGGGGCAAGGGGTTGATTTCTTAATAGTTAACGCAAAATTAGAAGTATAATAATGTGAAACTGCCTAGCCACTTCACAGGAGGAAGACCCAACAATCTGCTTCCATAAACATGGCAACCAGGAAACTCTGCAAGACAATTCTGCACCGTGGGAATCAACAACACAAGGTGAAATGTTTTCATTTTCAACCATAATGAAGTTTATGCTTTTAACCAGCCATCCTGGTTAATATCCAGTTATTAACCACTGGAAAATAAAGCAGGAAAATATGAAAAGTTATGGAGTAAAGACACCAATATTAGAATGTTGGAGACACACAATACATGTTATGTTAAGTTTATTTCCTTCCAAGAGAAGGAAACAGTCAAGACAAAGAGATTTTAAAATCCCTAGCTTATAATGAAATATATGATGAATAGTAAAGAATATGCTTGGCATGCAACGGGATATCAAAAATACTGATTAACAAGTAATACATGTTTCTTCTTCCTGTTAAAATATCTCTAATTTGACTTCCTCCATTAGTATTATCATTTCCATTGTGCTTCTAAAACATGGAAACTCTCAGAAAACCACCTACCATTGTTAACAAATAATGTTTGTTATCAAGACTTCTAGTATAAAGTTAAACTACTTGTTTTAAATATATTATTGGCCAATATTTTCAGAGGTCAAAATAGTTACTACATAATGCACCAAATGCATTCATTCATTTAAACTTTTGGGGTTTGATTTTAATATTTCCAAAGTTTTAAAATTGAAATTGGTTTATAAGAGAAAAACAATAATAATATTTACATTTCTAATTACAAAATTTCTATCTATTTTAGAGTGATAATTTAAACAAATGCAATTTTTAGGCTCTTAAAACATTGAAGTAGAGGGAAGGGAACTATTAAACCATTAAACTACTAAACCATTAAACACAAACCCAAAAAGTTTAAATGATTTACCAAAATCATCTATTAAATGGGGAATATTTTCTGTTGCTTTTATACTAAAAAAATTTTATGGTTGCGCTATTAGCAATTACTCAGTCTGTGCACAAATTTTACTGACTATATATTATATGTAGTCACAAACATTTGATAAACACAAAATCCATTCAATGCTAAATACTCCAGTCAGTTTTAAATTACCTTTAAAAGGAGGAAATTTCGAGGAAAGAAAAAACTTTCATCTTTCCCCCCCCTTTTCTCCTAGTTGCATTCCAATGTATGTGGATTTTCAGCCTTGATCTTGCCAAATACTTGCTTGTGATTTTTTTCCTCTTCCGTTTGCCTACAGATATCTTTTTACAGAAAATTGCAGGTATTTTGTCGCATTGGCTGAAAGCTATTTGAAGATTTCCAGTTTCCACTAGGTATCTTTGTGAACTTGAAAAGTTCATAGTTCTCTGCTTTAGCTATCATGAATTCTGATTCCTATCACTCAACTTAATTGATATCATTGACAAAATAAATACATGTGCTTTCACATGAAATGTGAATTTTAAATCTTAACATATTTTTAAAATGTTTGACCTTTAGCCTTATCTCGATGAAGCACAGACAGAACTTATTCTGTCGCTTACAAAATACTAAGATGTAGATGGGGACACTACCAGATTTATGTGAATTTTGTGTGGAAGGTTGGGGCAATGACATCTATAGTGTAAAATAAACATGTGGGGTTTATTTATTTTAACAGCCTTACTGTTCCAGTCTTATTCTACCTCCTTAGAAATCTAACTAATATATTAATGTTATTTAGCCTCATAAAATTAAAATTAAAAAATAAACAAATGTCCCAGGTTGCCCATATGATACAGCAACATATTTTTTTAATAGTTTTTTTTTGGTGAAAGCCAACTGTCCATCAGTGAGGGTTGATTAGAAAATCTCCTTCCATTGAGAAAAGAGTAGTGAATTTTCAGATAATATCTATGCAAAAATACTTATGGTTTCACTAAGAAAATAAGTCAATTTAGTAAATTGAGAATTAGAGCTAAATACTAAATTTCCAAGGTGTTATCTTCAATTTAAATCATACTAGAATTTTTTGCTTTATTTTTATTTTCTTTTGGAGACTACATATGACCACTTGGAGTGGTGGTTGTTAGGGGTCATCAAGTGAGTTCCAACTCATTACAACCCTTTGCACAATAGAAGGAAACACTGCCAAGTCCTGCATCATCCTCACAATTGTTCTTATATTTGAAATCATTGTTGCAGCCACTGTGTCAGTCCATCTTGTTGAAAGTCGTCCTCTTTTTTGCTCTCACTTCACTTTATCAATCATGATGTCCTTTTTAAAAAGAAAAATACGTTTATTGAGGGCTCTTACATCTCTTATCACAATCCATACATTCCTCCAATGTGTCAAGCACATTTGCACATATGCTGCCATCATCAGTTTCAAAGCATTCTTTTCCCACTTGAGCCCCTGATACCAGCTCCCCATTTCTTCCCCCTCCCTCTCCGGCCCACCTACCCTCATGAACCCTTAATAAGTTGTAGATTATTTTTTCCATATCTTACATCTTGCTCTGTCGCCCCTCACCCACTTTTCCATTATTTGTCCCCATGGGAGGGAGTTCTAGGTTGTTCCTTGGGATGGAATCTTCTTTTCTCCCCCACCCTCCCCTAATCGTCTGGTATCTCTATTGTCCTTGTTGGCCCTGAGGGGACTACCCGTATTGCGGGCTGTTATCTGTAGCAGTGTGCATACTCTGGTCTAATCTGATTTGTAAGGCAGAATTGAGGTCATGATAGGTGAAGGAAGCACCAAAGAGCTAGAGGAAAGCTGTGTGTTTCATTGGTGCTATATTGGAGCCCTGACTGGCTCATTTATTCCCTGTGACTCCTCTGTGAGGGGATGTCCAATTGTCTACAGATGGGCATTGGGTCTCCACTCCATGCCCGGTCTCCCTTCACCTTGGGTATGGTTTTATTCTGGGTCTTAGATGCCTGATACCTGATCCCATCGACACCTCATGATCACACAGACTGGTATGCTTCTTCCGTGTGTGCTTTGTTGCTTCTGAGGTACATGGCCACTTGTTTATCTTCAAACCCTTAAGACCCCATACACTAGATCTATTGCTAGCTGGGCAGCATCAGCTTTCTTCACCACATTTGCTTATGTACCCATTTTGACCCCAGCGATTGTGTCAGGAAGGTGAGCAACACAGAATGCCGGATTGTTAGAACAAAGTGTTCTTGTGTTAAGGGAGTACTTGAGTAGAGGCCCAATGTCCATGTGCAACCTTAACTCTTAACATGTAGATATGAGTACATAGTTCTATTCCCCTCTCATTATATATATATATATTTACATATGTACATGCCTGCATTTAGGCCTCTATAAAGGTCTTTTGCCTCCTGGTTCTTTCCTCTATTTCCTTTAAAAAAAATTATTTTATTGGGGGCTCGTACAATTCTCATCACAATCCATACATACATCCATTGTGTCAAGCACATATATACATTCACTGCCCTCATTTTTCTCAAAACTTTTGCCCTCCACCTCAGCCCTTAATATCAGTTGCTTATTTTCCCCCTCCCTCATGAACCATTCATAATTCACAACTTATTATAGTTTTGTCATAAGTTACACTGTCTGACGTCTCCCACTGCCCTCTTCTCTGCTGTCTCTCCCCCAGGGAGGAGGCAATACCTAGATTCCTGTAATCGGTTCCCCCTTTCCACCCCACATTCTCTTCACCCTCCAGGCCTCGCCCCTTTCACCACTGGTCCTGAAGGGATCATCTGTCCTGGATTCCCTGTGTTTCCAGTTGCTATCTGTACATCCTCCGGTCCAGCCAGATTTGTAAGATAGAATTGGGATCATGATAGTGGGGAGGATGAAGCATTTAAGAGCTAGAGGAAAGTTATATGTTTCATCGTTGCTACCTTGTACCCTGATTGGCTCGTCTCCTCCCCACAACCCTTCAGCGAGGGGGTGTTACTTCCTTCTTGTCCCACCATCATGTTCACTCTTCATTTGGGTTTAGCAATAGCATTGTTATTTCCTGATAACATGTACAAAGTATGTGAGATGAAATTGTTGATAGACATTAAGCTAGAAATTGCATGATAGTATTTTGCAAGATTAATGACTTCTTTGTTGTAATGTAAATTGTGACTATACAAGTGAACCTCACCTGATGGAAAAATAAGAATCAGATTGACTGCATTCATGGAAAGAGACAATGGAGAAGCTCAATATCATCAGCCAAAGCAAGGATGGGGAAAAATGTGGAGCTGGCCATCAAGTGCACATAAGTAAGTTCAATTTTACACCTCACTGTTAAATTTATTGTGGCGCTGCATGCTATATATCACTTAATATCTCCTGGAAAAGGTCCATGCTACAGCTAAAAACAAATATGTCATTTTGAGAAAGATAGTGCATCTACCCCAACTAGATATTTTCAATCATCTCAGATGCACGTGAAAGTTGGACAATGAATAAGACATTTTTTAGAAGGTTTGATGCAGTTGAATTATGATGTTAGTAAAGAATATTGAAAGTACCAAGGATGGCCAGTACTGAGAACAAACAAATCTGTCCTGAGCTACAGCCAGAAGGCTCCTTTGAAGCCAGCATGGCTAGATTTGGTCTCACTTATATTCGGCCTGTTAACAGAAGGGACCATTCCCTAAAAAAGGACATTGTGCTTTGTAGAGGGTCCGCGAAAAAACAAACAAAAACGGACTGCCACAGTGGGCTCAAGCATAGTAGCAATTGCAAGAATGGTGCAAGCACAGCCAGTGTTTTGATCTGTTATATGCTAGTATTGCTGGATGTCAGAATAATGAACAGCAGCAACTGAGCTAAAAATAAAAATGAAGTCTCTATCGTCCGTTTATGGTATTTGGGTTCAATTGTGCTTTGATTTGGAGAAAATATTTATACTTGTGTAGTTATTGAACAAAAACATTTGATAGGTTGGCTATTTCCACCTAAAAGTCTATTTGGTCATCTTAATTTAATCTTTTTTAAAAATCATTTTATTGAGGGCTCATACAACTCTTAACACAATCCATATATACATCCAT